TGAGCAAGAAATGCTTCCCAGTGGTTATTAGGACTGGAATTGCTATTTTCAATAGTCATTGCTTTTTATTAAGTTTTAGTTTTATTTGTTTAAAAGGAAGACAGTGATATTGCATTGGCAAATTTCCCATAGAAACAAAGAATGGAACAAAAGAATAATAAAGGCACCTCAACTTTTCCTCATTTATGTAGGACAGTCTTATAATATGTATCCAGATATCCTCCAATCACACAAGCTGAAAACTGTTCCACTTCACTGCAGTTTTGTAACCATATGGGAACCAATCCAGTCTGTGTTCTGTGCACATCCAAAATTCCTGCTGAATGACCCGCTCTGGGAACGAGTTACCAGTGACCTAGGGCTGGGGCGGCAGGAGGGTGCAGTGGGGAGGGGCAGCCAAAATTTTTTTTGCTTGGGGCAGCAAAAAACCTAGTGCCGGCTCTGTTCCTCAGCCCCCTCCCTCACCCGCTGCTTGCCTTGCGGGCCGCATGCAGCCCCCGGGCTGCATGTTGTGCAGGCCTGGTTTAGGGAATATAGAAGTTAGAACATGATACTATGGTGTGTTATTCAGTTACAGTATTGCTAGTAGGTTTGCTTTGCAAATGTCATACAATCTATTTTAAATTGCTCTGTAAGGATCATTCAATTTTGCATGATGCAGTTCTGGTTTAAGGAAAGGAAAAGCAATAACCGATGTACATTTTCCTTTTAAACACCACAGCAAAATTGTAATTCACAGTATGATGCTTGTTAATTTCAATCCCCTGCAGAGTGCTCACAAGAGCAGAACAGGCATAGAAATAGAGGAATGGCATGACAAACTTCATATGTATGAAGTTAGTACTAATCAATATCTACAGTAAGTTTTGTTTGGGGTACACAGCCGAGGCTGGGATTTTCAAAAGTACTAACTTAAGAGACATGAGTCCCATTGAAGCTCAATGAGACTTGTCCTCTTAACTTTGCAGTGATGACAAGCTTTAACTCAGGTGTTGCCCCAAACTCATCATCAGGTGTGGTGGTGATTTAACTCAAG